AGACATAGAGACAGAAAGCGAGAAATCACCCCCCAGGAGGGATGGCCACGCCGCAATCCCTTCTCCTCCATTCTCCTCTCGGGATCTTGGGCACGCACGCACATGCGCCCAGCGTGAGTTTTAAGCCACCGGGTCCGGGACGTGAACTGCGGTTGACTATGTGGGAGTCCAGCGACATAGCCATTACGCTAATTGCTGGTTCCCCGTCTTGTCATTCTTAGTAGCGTAAAATAAACATAAAATAATTTGGAAGGAATTTGTCCTTTTTTGTATCATCTGTCCATACAAGAATGTGGTATATTCGAGTTTTCCCTGAAACCTTTTCTTTCTCTCTCTTTTTTTTTTTTTTCGGTGGGGGAGAGATTTTTGCTATAGGGTGTACATGATCGCCAGAGACACACAGAGAGACAGAGAGATAGAAAGCGAGAAATCACTGCCAAGTCCCTCTTCCTCCATTTTCCTCTCAGGATTTTGGACATGCACACACATGTGCCCAGTGTGAGTTTCAAGACACTGGATCTGGGACTTGAACCACAGTTGACCATGTGGGAGGCCAGCACCTTAACCACGACATCTTCTAGTCCCTTTTGAAATATTTTAATAAAGTTCACAAGTTTTCTTTCTTTTAAATATTAATTTAATTTTATTTATTATCATTACTTTTTAAATTTCAGTATAGGACATATGCACTCACCCAAGAGAGACAGAGAGAGAGGGAGAGGAGAAGTGAGAAAGCGAGCCACCAGGTCTGGGACTTGACTCGCCGTTGGCCATGTGGGAACTCAGCCCCTTAACCACCAGTCCACCTGCTGGTCCCATTAGTTTTCTTTATATTTCTCGTTAAGGTCATTCCTAGGCATCGACGTACGTTTTCCTGCCATTGTGAATGGTATTATTTTCCCATTACGTTTGTAATGAATTATTGCTTACATACCGGGAACAAGTAGCTTCTGTAATTTACTCTTATATCCAGCCGCTTTACTGAATTATTTTAAATCCTGTAGAAGTGATGCCCTTCTGCCCTCTTCTTCAGAGACTGTGAATTGAAGGGAGTGGGGGTTCTGCATAAGGAAATACACGGCTTGTCCCGGCCCCTGTCCGAATTCGGGCATTAGCCTCATACGTAGTGAGAACCCCCACATGGGAGTGTGGAAAAGCAGCAACTCAAAGGTTTTGAGAAGCAGGGAAGAAATGATGTAAGATGAGTCCTTTTGACCTTTCTACTCCTGTCAGAAAAGGAAACGATGTCCCCTCCATCTCTAGGAGAGAGCAGCGGAGGGAAGAGAAGTAGCAGGAGGGGTGTTGGCGGTAGTTCTCTGGGCAGCGTGGCCCCAGAAAACGTGGCAGTCAGAGGCCCAGGGCCATTGTAGGGGCCATTGCACTGTGAGTGTGCACCCTGCACTGGCAGGCATTACGTCAGAAGCCCGACTCACCATGGTGACAGGCGCAGCGACAGAGAGTGAGAGCCAAACCCGATGGCACCGTGGCGGGCCGGTGGAGGGAGGCCCTTAGGTGAGAGGGCCGAAAGGCCGATTGCTCGACAATGCTGGCTCGCTTCACAGTGACACTGACGTGTCTGGAAGGCCCTCCCTGGTATTGGGATCCCACTGGGGTCACTGGAGAACAGTGCGGGTGGGAGGCTTAGACTGTAGAACCAGCCAGACCTGAGCTCACATCAGTTTTGTCACTTAGTAGCTACGCGTTTGAATTCGTCTTTCTTCCAAAGCAGACCTTAAGACAAGGGCTGGGTGCGAGTGATTTAAACAGAAAACAGTGATGGAACGGGGATGTGAGATGAGGCCCGGTGAGCTCCTCCCACGGACAGCTAGGGCACAGTGCTCTGGGACCCTCCGAAAGACAGTGCAGAACACGCTTCGGTCTGGTGCCAGGGCGAGGAGGCGGACGGAGTTACCTGTCAGCTCCTGCGCTCAGCCCAAGGCACTCCGGGGCACGAACTCTGCCACCTCTGCGAGCTGGAGTGTGCTTGTGGCTCAGGCAGAGTGATGTTCCGGTGTCTGTGGGGACACAAGGAGATGTGGGCGTGGCACTGTCGTGCGTGCTTCTATCCCATGACCTTCTTTGTTTTCAGGTGTCGGGAATGGAGTCCAGAGTGCCAATGGCACTGGGTCAGTGGAAACGTGCAGAGCGTTTAAATTCAGGGGCCAGCATTCGGTGTGGTGTCTGCGGTGCTGGACTCCCACATGGCCGACCATGGTTCAAGTCCCAGACTCATTGCCTTGAAAATCACGCTGTGTGTGTGTGCATGTGTGCCTCCAGCAGAGCCTGAGCTGGGGCCTGCCCTACCCGCTCAGTCCTAGCCTCTTCCCAAAGGCCTGTCTCCACCACAGTCTGATTAAGTTCCTCCCCGCTTAACCCCATTACAAATCCCCGTTATCATTTTGTTAAGGTTTCTGTCAAAGGTGCATGTGCTCACTAGAGAGAGACGGAGACAGAGAGGGAGAGGGGGACAGCACGCCCAGGCGACGGCCATGCTGCAGTCCCCTCTCCACCCCCCTCGGGATTGTGGGTGCACACACACATGCACCTGGCGTGCTTTTCAAGCCACTGGGCCTAGGACTCGAACCACAGCTGACCACGGAGTCCAGCACCTTAGTCACCATGGCACCTGCCCCGGGGGGGGGCAGGGATGTTGGGCACGCATGCGCATGAGCCCGGCGGGATTTTTTTTCTTACTTTCTTTCTCTTTTCTTCCTTCTTTTGTTCTTTCTTTTTAAAAATTTTTTTAGTTATTTAATTCCATTTTTTATTATTACTTTTTAATTTGCCCAGAGAGAAAAGGAAAGTGAGAAAGCAAGCTGCCAGGTTCAGGACTCGAACAGCAGTCAGCCATGTGGGAGCCCCGCTGTCTTAACTACCACGCCATCTGCCGGCCCCAATAAATGGTAGTTTTAGTGGCATTAAACTAACATGGTGGGGGTGGGGGTGGGGGACAGTGGCTCTTTCTCTGTAGCTGACTTAAAACTTTGTTATCGCTTTAGTCTACTAGAGAAGGCAGCTGACTGGCGTCAAAAGGTGTGGCCTATGGCCATGGGGTAGACATTCCCTTGAGGGAAGCTACCCACTTCTTGGCGAATAGAATCTATTTCTGTGAGGATCATAGGCCAACCAACCTAGCAAGATTTGACTATATTGTTTCCTTAATGGTAACGTTTTTGCCAACGGCTGGTTCATTTTGTTGCCTGACTGGGAAAATAAAGCTTCCACAGAACAGAATTATTCTGCTTCGACCTAGAGAATAGTCACCCATTCGTGCTGAAACTCAGAGCACATCCGGGTGGGTAGAGATGCCAAAGTGGTTTTGCTTTGTATCTTTGCAGTAACACCTGAGCATAGGTGTTACCATGCTTAGGGTAGAACTCTGTACGTGCTTGCCCACTAGGAAGTTAAGGGCAGGGCAGGTGGCAGCCATCTGCTTGTGCTGCAGTGTGGCCACTGGGCTTGGGTGGCACATGAAAACTAGTGAGAGAACTTGGTGAACAGCATCTTCATAATGAGCAGTTGAGCTTCGTTGTTGGTTTTGCTTTGTGTGGGTGAGTGGGGCTGACTGTGGCTAATGTTTGTAAGTGGACAGGTTCTGGAGAGAAAGGGCCCTGAGTGCAGTGCTCGGTCACTGAAGGACGACGGTTGACTTATGGAGGAAGGCGTACTGAGCTCCTCCTAGTCGTCTGCCCGCAGAGGGAGACCACAGAGATGGGAGTCATCCATTCCATCATGGTGGGCTCAGGAGGTTGACTGAACCATAGCCGTCCTCCCTCCCTCGTGCTAACAGAACCTGATTTTGCACAGCTGAGAGATGGGTGTTCCTCAATCGTGGGGAAGGTGGTCTAGTCCCAGGGGGATGAATCATGTTTGGGCCAAGCCAGTTATGGCGATTCATTTGTATTTCTTGGTGAAATTGGTTTGGTGTGGCCAAGTGGCCCAGGAGAAGTCTAATGGGGATCTTAGGACATCTTTTTTCTCAGGTAAGAAGAGGGAGAAGGAGGAGACAAGCCGGCTTGACTTTTTCTCCTACTGGTGGACAGAGCTATGTGAAGCCATGTTTTTAGTAGCTATTATACGACCTGGAGGGAACATCTCCATTACACGGAGGGTGACAGGGTGGCGAGGTGGCAAAATCCTGTCCCGATACATCACTGAGCATCTGAATCCAGCCAGGACTCTAAAGCCTGGCTTCTGATAACGTGAGACTCTCGTTGTTTAAACTGCTGTAGATGAGATGTTGTTATTAAAGACAAAATCTTCATGATCGATAGCTCTCTGGATAAAGACCAATGCGGGGGGTTGGCTGTTGATAATCAAAGAAGAGAATAACTGGGGGCTAGCCAATGGCGTAGAGGTTATGCTGCTGGACTCCCACAGGGCTGACTGTGGTTCGAGTCCTGGACACAGTGACTTGAAAATCATGCTGGGCATGTGTGCATGAATGCTCAAGACTTGCTATGACATTGTTTTCCCTTGAGCAGGAGAAAGGTGAAGGTAGGATATATAAAGTACTGACCGAAGTTAGAATGTTGGGAGCAAGTGGGGTTTCCGGTGCTCCCATGGGGTGGAGTGAGAGCTCACCGTGTGGTCTCAGGACAAGAGTGGGAGGACAGAAGAATGCCTCCTGCCCACCCCGTCACCAGCTGTGGAAGCTCCAGGAGTGAAATGCAATAAGCAGAGCTAGAGGTTTCCTGTTCAGGATGCGAGTTGGAAGACAGACCAAAATAACCACACAGCGCTCATGGTAGACTCTGGGAAGAGTCACACCAAAATAACCATACGACGCTCCCGACAAACTCGGCGGAGCCACCCTCCGCTCCCACAGGCCCTTCCTACGCACTCGTTCCAACCAACGTCTGACCCTGTGATAAGTCACAGAAAGCAGAAGAATAGAAGTTGCTGGCGTTTGTAGTAACAGGATGAGAAAGTGCGAGACTTCCTGTTGTGTGTGTGACAGCTGGTGATAAGTGGAGGGCCCTGCACAGGAAATCCGCTCGGCTTCTGCAATGTGACCTGCCTGAAACTCGGGCTCTCCTCCAGTCTGCATGTCCATGGCAGAACAAAGGGGCACCTGGGCTATGGGCGACGTGGTAGAGAAGAGTCTGGAAGGCCCACTGGCACCTTCCGCAAGCGAGCCCTCCCAGAAAAGGGGGGACCTGGTGGAAATCTTAAATGAGGATAAGGTGAAATTTGACGATACGGGACTCTCCCTAATTCTTCAGAATGGCCTGGAGACCCTCCGAGTGGAAAACGCTCTGACAGATGTCATCCTGTGTGTGGACATCCAGGAATTCTCCTGCCACCGCGTGGTGCTTGCCGCGGCCAGCAACTACTTCAGGTCAGCACACGGAGGGCCAGGTCGACTCGGGTGCGAGCTGCAGGGCAAGTCTGGGCCGATGTGCGAGCCCAGTCCACAGAGCTTGCTGTGGCATTCATGGCTTATATATTAACGTTTGCGTGTCTCCCTAAGATACAAGGAAGGAAGCAAGTGGTCCTTAGATCTAAGGAGCTAGGCCACATTCGTAGTAAGATCGGCATCATTTAAAAGCAGTATTTCTGTACCAGGGCAAACTTTCTGGGTCTATGTCCTTGTTCCACAAGGAGAATGACTGGAGTCACGGGGACTTGTTCCCTGGTTAGTCTGACTAATGTGTTGGACACATGATGGTGTCTTTGTTCACCAACAAAGGCAGAGGAAAAGGACGTGGCCCCTCTCGGAATGCTCAGAGGAGTTGCTGACAGTGAGGGGCGTCCTGGGCGTGCTGGAGGCGGGCGGGGAAGGAAAGCAGGTGCGAGAGTCTCCCGATGCGAGAGGCCCGTGGTTACAACCGCTGCGTGAGTGGGGAGAGCCCGTGTCACCAGGCCTGGGTGGCCTCCTGCTCTGCCCCTTCTCGACAGGCAGTCACTCGATGCTCTGAACCTGTTTGTCACCTGTAAGGTGGGGGCAATGAGGAGGGCTGCTCGGGAGTGCTGTGGTAACCAGGTGAGACAGGAGGGGCTCTCAAACGCCCACCCCGTCGTAGGTGCTGAGTTCTTCGACAATTCTGCCTGGTTCAGCTAAGAGCCGTTGAGGGCTCCCTCTGAGCAAACCTCTCGGGTAGGAATGTCTGTGTGGCCATGTCTGCCAAGGCTATGCGGAGGAAGAAGGTATTTCTGGAACTTGAAAAAGAAACACCCTTGTAATGTTTTGTAATGAGAGTCTTAACTCTCGGTTTGGGCAGAAGAAATGAAAAACTATGAACTCACAGTGAGTACCAGGGAAGGTGTTTTCTGTTTTGGAGGTGGTTGGGAGGAAAATGTTTCTTTGCAATTCAAAGAGCAGGGTCCGTGGACTGTCGTGGGGCTGATTAGGGCCCAGATGTGGACAAGGCCGTGGGCCGTCTGGGCTTCAGGGAAGTAGTTCCTGCCACACGCCAGACAGACATCATGAGCTGCTTTTATTTTGCAAGAGCATGAAGAAGGTGGCTGATACCCTCTTTTGTGGAAGAGGAAACGAGCAGACATTACATATCGGGTCATTGCTGGGGCAGGGATTGGGTACGTTCGAGAAGTCCTGGTTGTGACAGCAGTGCCAGCTGCCACTGAGGTTGGACTTCATTCCAAGGAAGTTGGTGGGAGGCACGGCACGGGTGCAGCGTCCGAATGGGCTGACACAGAACTCACCTTCGGAGATTCCCCTCCACTGTCGGTCGCACACTGCCACGTCAGTCACAACCCCTCTCAGGAGTGACAAGAGGCAGCCTCACTCAGTACCCTGGTACTAGCTTGTTTTCCCTTCCAGTTTGCGTAGGTATACACACTCGCTGGAGAGAGACAGAAATAGAGACAGAGGGAAGGTGCGAAATCACCCCCCACGGAGGGCAGCCCTGTCACAGTCTCTCCTCCGTTCTCTTCTTGGGGTTTGGACATGTGTACAGTGTCCGGCCTGTCCTTCCAGCTGTCGGGTCCAGGACTTGAACCAGGCTGTGGGCCATGTGGGATCCAGCTGCAGCATGCCATTGGCTGGCCCCTGGGTACTCACTTTTAAGTTTATTCTTCCTGATTTTAGTCACTGGAACGTGGCCATCATAGTGGCCACCTGGGTGTGGCCTTGTCTGTGGGTGAGCCGGTGGAGCTGTGGCTGTGGGCGGTGTGCCCTGAGCAAGTCGCAGGTCCTTTCTGGCCCCCGGTGCGTGGGCCCAGGGCCTTCCAGCTCTGCTCATCCAGGGCATTTAGGCAAAGTCTCTGCCTGCCCTCAGACAGACGGTGGCCGTGAGAAACTGGAGGCACAGGAGGGCGTCGTGTCTGCCTGGGTGCAGGCAGCCTCTTCCCAAAGCGCCTGGCTGCGAGGGGAAATTCCTTCCGTTATTTTCTTCAGAGCAGTGAGTTTCGATTCTTACCTTGGGATTCCCAGCATGACTTTCCTTCTCGAAGGAGTACAGTGCTGGAGACAGGATTCTTTTTTCCGGTGCTGCTGTGAGTAATCTCTGTTTGCTGAGCACTCCTGTGGTCCAGGCCCTGCCCTCTTGGTCTCTAGGCTATGTAACAGCCAAGGGCCTGCGAGGTGCGGGCTAGCCCGCCTTACAGGGGAGGGACCCAGTTCCAGGGTGAGAGTTAGTAAAAAGTAACCCAGGCAGGATGGAGACCCAAGGGAGACCGTAGGTCAGCCGTGGCCTCGCCGCCCCCCAGCGTTGTTCTAAGGTTTAGAAGGCCAACGTTGAGAGCCAAGCTCTTACGCTCAGGCTAGAGAGAGAGGGAGAGTCTAGCCTCCCTGGGATGCTGTAGCCTCAGCCCTCTGCTTTGAAGGGCCTGGAAACAGGTTAGAAAATTACGGAGGTTTTGTTTTCTTTATTGGCTGAGAGAGTAAATACTTTCCACTAAGTAACTGCCCTTTGTTTGTTTACATTTATTTAAGAGGCTTTTGCCTGAGGGTGCGTGGGCTTGCTGGAGAGAGAATCAGAGGCAGAAACAGTGAGAGGGAAAGTGAGAAATCACCCGTCCCGGCAGACGGCCACGCTGCAATCTCTCCTCCTCTGTCCTCCTTCCTCTGGCACGCTCGCACACACACCTAGTGTGATTTTGAAGCCACCAGGTCCAGGACTCCAACCACGGGCGGCCGTGTGGGAGAACAGCAACGTAGCCGCCATGTAACCGGCCATCTGCTGGTCCTAGCCCTAGTTTATCTACACGGTCTCCTACTGACAGACATGTAGATGGTTCTAGTCTTTCACGACTACGAACAGTTCTGAAATGAACGACCTTACATGTGTGTCATTTCGTGCGTGTGCAGGAGTATTGGGATGCTTTTCTAGAAGGCTCGCCGAGTCATTCGCATCTGCTGTCTTAGCAGGCATTGCCAGCGTCTCCCCATAGAGGTTAATCAGTTTGCATTGCCCACGGTCTTACCAAAAGAGGGCGTCATCCCAATGGGTTTTCAACAATCTGACTGAAGAGAAAAAATGTCTCAGCTTACTTTTAATAGGCATTTCTCAATTTTAATAAAATCAAACAGTTTTATTACAGAATTATTTTATTGGAGCCAGCAGATGGTGTGATGGTTAAGGTGCTGGACTCCTACATGGCCAATTGTGGTTCGAGTCCCAGACGTGGAACATGCTTTCTCATTTTCTTTCCCTCTCTGTCTCTCTGGTCAAACTAAAAACTAATAATAAAATAAATAAAATTAAATAAAGTAATTCTAAAAAAAAGATTTAAAATAAAAAAGAGTAATTTTATTTAACTTTATCTATTTATTTATTTTAATTTGACTAGAGAGGGACAGAATGAGAGTGAGAGAGAGCGAGAGAGAGAGAAAGTGAGAAAGCAAGCTACCAGGTCCAGGACTCAAATCGCAGTCAGCCATGTGGGAGTGTCCAGTGCCCCAACCACCACGCCACCTGCCATCTTTACATAGGCTCAAGGTTCATCTGTCATTCTTTTTTTTCTGTAAATTCTCCTGAACTGGGAGGCACAGGAGGGCGTCGTGTCTGCCTGGGTGCAGGCAGCCTCTTCCCAAAGCGCCTGGCTGCGAGGGGAAATTCCTTCCGTTATTTTCTTCAGAGCAGTGAGTTTCGATTCTTACCTTGGGATTCCCAGCATGACTTTCCTTCTCGAAGGAGTACAGTGCTGGAGACAGGATTCTTTTTTCCGGTGCTGCTGTGAGTAATCTCTGTTTGCTGAGCACTCCTGTGGTCCAGGCCCTGCCCTCTTGGTCTCTAGGCTATGTAACAGCCAAGGGCCTGCGAGGTGCGGGCTAGCCCGCCTTACAGGGGAGGGACCCAGTTCCAGGGTGAGAGTTAGTAAAAAGTAACCCAGGCAGGATGGAGACCCAAGGGAGACCGTAGGTCAGCCGTGGCCTCGCCGCCCCCCAGCGTTGTTCTAAGGTTTAGAAGGCCAACGTTGAGAGCCAAGCTCTTACGCTCAGGCTAGAGAGAGAGGGAGAGTCTAGCCTCCCTGGGATGCTGTAGCCTCAGCCCTCTGCTTTGAAGGGCCTGGAAACAGGTTAGAAAATTACGGAGGTTTTGTTTTCTTTATTGGCTGAGAGAGTAAATACTTTCCACTAAGTAACTGCCCTTTGTTTGTTTACATTTATTTAAGAGGCTTTTGCCTGAGGGTGCGTGGGCTTGCTGGAGAGAGAATCAGAGGCAGAAACAGTGAGAGGGAAAGTGAGAAATCACCCGTCCCGGCAGACGGCCACGCTGCAATCTCTCCTCCTCTGTCCTCCTTCCTCTGGCACGCTCGCACACACACCTAGTGTGATTTTGAAGCCACCAGGTCCAGGACTCCAACCACGGGCGGCCGTGTGGGAGAACAGCAACGTAGCCGCCATGTAACCGGCCATCTGCTGGTCCTAGCCCTAGTTTATCTACACGGTCTCCTACTGACAGACATGTAGATGGTTCTAGTCTTTCACGACTACGAACAGTTCTGAAATGAACGACCTTACATGTGTGTCATTTCGTGCGTGTGCAGGAGTATTGGGATGCTTTTCTAGAAGGCTCGCCGAGTCATTCGCATCTGCTGTCTTAGCAGGCATTGCCAGCGTCTCCCCATAGAGGTTAATCAGTTTGCATTGCCCACGGTCTTACCAAAAGAGGGCGTCATCCCAATGGGTTTTCAACAATCTGACTGAAGAGAAAAAATGTCTCAGCTTACTTTTAATAGGCATTTCTCAATTTTAATAAAATCAAACAGTTTTTTTAAAGAATTATTTTATTGGAGCCAGCAGATGGTGTGATGGTTAAGGTGCTGGACTCCTACATGGCCAATTGTGGTTCGAGTCCCAGACGTGGAACATGCTTTCTCATTTTCTTTCCCTCTCTGTCTCTCTGGTCAAACTAAAAACTAATAATAAAATAA